GTTTCCCCCCCCGCCGGGCGCGCGGGTGGTACGGGCGGCGCCTGCGTCGCCGCGGTGGCTGCGCGGCGGGGACGCGGGTCGCTCGCGCCCGGGCTGCGCCGCCCGCCTGCGGGGCGGGGGGGTGCCGCGAGCGTGGCCGGGACCCCCTGCGCTGCCGGGGCCGCCCGATCTCCTCCCGGGCTTTCGGGGCCGCGGATTAGGACCTCGGCTGCACCCCCACCTGGGCCCCGCCGGGAGATCCGAGGGGCACGAGGGGGCGCCCGAGGTTGCATCCGACGCCCCCCAAGCCAGGATGCGCAGGTAGGAAAGCAGCCCGAGCACGCGGGGACCCCGCGCCGACTTGGGTGCGGGCAGCAGGGCGCGCTCTCCCCCTCCCCGCGATGCCCCCTGAGAGGCCCGACCTGCGATCCTGCCCTCGGAAGCTTCGGATCGGTGATCTGCAGGACGCAGGGACTCCCAGCTCCCCGTCCCGGGCTGCTGAGAGGATCAAATGAGACGATGCTGCTAAAGATCTCGCCCCGAGGTACACGTGGGACCCCCCACCCCGTGTGTAGACGTAGGGTTGGGGCAGGGGGGGAGGAAGAGAGACTGGCTGCCTCTCCCTCCCACCATAATCAGTTTGATTTCTGGTTGGTGTTCAGAAGGATATTTGTGGAGGCTGGGGGCCCGTGTGTGTGCCTCCGGCCTGTAATCCTAGCTTCTCAGGAGGCTGAGATCTGAGCATCGCAGTTCGAAGCTACCCGCGGGCAATGCAGTCCGTGAGAAGTGGAGCTGTGTGGCTCAAGTGGTAGAGCACCAGCCTTGAGCGCAAAGCAGACGCGACAGAGCCCAGACCCCTCAGTTCAAGCCCCAAGGCCTGGCACCAACATACTTATGCATAAGTATAGGCTGGCTGCTAGAAGTTTGTGTTTGTTTATTCACTGTATATTTAGCCCTGGCACCCCTTTTCCCATCATGACAGCTCCAAGGTGCTCAAACATTCCCAGGAGTCTGCAGGGCCAGCTCCCCTTTGAGAAGACGTAGATTCCTTCACCCTAGCACTGCCGTGGTCTGAGCAGTGCCAACCTGACCCCTGTCGCAGGGAGCCCTGGAGACGGGACCTGGAAGGCAGAGTGCACCTGCTGGCACCGGGGACCCCTGGCATTGTGAAGACGCTCGTGCCGCTGGCATGCAGACCCTCCACCTTCAGCCCCGATGCCCAGGCTACCGGGCGAAGGCCAGAGAGTCCTACGTGGATGAGACATTGTTTGGCAGCCCTGCAGGCACCCGGCCTGCCCCGCCAGACTTTGATCCACCCTGGGTGCAGAAGAAGAACAGAAGCAGAGGAAGTAGCACAGGAGTCTCACAGGCAGCCCCGGGGTGCAGTGAGGCTACCCCCTGCAGGGGCAGCACCCCAACACTCACACCAAGGAAAAAAAACAAATACAGGTAACAGCGGGGGACCGGCACTCCTGTTCTCTGTAGCCACTGGCTTCCTGTTACAGCCTGTTCTTTGCCTGCTGTGTGACCTTGGGCAAACACCTTGACCTCTCTGAACTGCAGCTGCTCTGTCGAAAACAGGGCCAATGATCCCCTTAACCCAGGCAGCATTGTGGAGAGATTAAATGTAGTGTTTGGCACAGTAACCCGATACTTAAGAAGGTTTCAGTAAATGTTGGTGGTAGCTGGGTGTGGTGATTTACCCCTGTCACCCCAGCTACTCAGAGATTGTGGAGGAAGAATCTAATGAGTTCAAGACACACTCTTCCCCCCCCCCCCATAAAGTTAACTGAATTAGACCCCTCTCAATATAAAAAGGGTGTGGTGATGTGGCTCAAGGGTAGGCATGGTTGATGGGCATGAGGCCTTGGGTTTAATTCCCAGTACCACGGAGTGTTGGTGGTTGTGAGGTTGTGAACTGCATGTCCAGACGTTATAGATGAGGACTCTGAGGTGCTTCTGTGTCAGTCTTTGTTGTTAGTGGTGGTGGTGTTGCTTGTGGGGCTTGAGCTCTGGCCTGGGCACTGTCCCTCAGCTGTTCAGCTCAAGGCTGGCGCTCTACCACTTGAACCACAGCGCCACATCCGGTTTTCTGGTGGTTCATTGGAGAAAAGAATCTCTCTCTTGCCTGCGATCCTCAGCTCTCTCAGCCTCCCGAGTAGCTAGGATGACAGGCATGAGCCACCCGCCCTGGGTCATTCTTTGTGCTGGGGTTACAGGTGTGCACCACCGTGCTTGGCTTGGTGTCTCTTCTTTTTGGAAATTTTTTAAAAAATTGTTATTAAAAAGTAAGATAAAAGGGGTTACAGTTCTATAAACCAGGTAAAGAGTACATTTCTTTTTTGGACCATGTTACCCCTTCCTTCCCTTTCCCCCAGTTTTTCCCTCCTGTACCCATCCACAAATTGTACAATTCATTGCCAACAGAATGTCTGGTGAGCACTACTGTTGCATTTGTTTACCCTTTGTCCCTCCATTTCTGTGTCCCCCCCAGTGTCTCTTCCTAAGCGTACCAGTTCTATTAGATTAGAGCCCCCTTCTTATGACTTAGTTTAATTTACTTCCTTGAAGGCCTTGGGTCCAAGTATGGTCAGATGGTGTCAGAATGTCTGCATGGGGGGGGGGGGGGGGGACCCAGTTCCGGTGTCAGGTGTCGAGTGACTGCCTGACAGGACAGGCTGAGAATGTGATTGCCAGTGCTGACTGACCTGTCTGCTGTCCACAGGGGGGGAAAGGAGGGGGGGAGGGCGAGGGGTGATAGCTGCCCCTGTGCGCCCCTGGAATTCTCCCCTGGGTGCTTGCTGCTAGAGAGAAGTTAGGGAGCAAAACCCTCGGGGGCTGTGGCTCTTGAGGGCTTTAGGGGTCCTTCGCCCCAGTCACCGTGGTGCTCTTCCCCTGCCAGGCTCGTCCGCCACACCCCGACCTTCTGTGATGAGTCATTGTTCGGCCCCCCGCCTGGGGGTGTGCGCTGTGAGGCCTCCGGGATGGCCAGAGGGGACCCTGCCAAGCTCCACGCCCTCTTCTGGACACCACCAGCTACCCCCAGGAGCGGCCATTCACTCCGCCCCAGGAACACCCCACTGAGAGCCATTCACCCGGCCAGCACCTCCAAGACGGAGCTGCTGGGGGTGGCCGCTGACTCCCAGAAGTCGTCCCTGGATGGGTTTTCTGTCACCCACCTCAACCGCCCCAGCACCCTCCAGACCAATGGGCCTCTGGACCCCAGGCCTTCCACCGCAGGGGTGGCCTGCCGGCGCCCCCCACTCTCCCCCCAGCCTCGCTCTGTCAGTATCTCAGTGCCAGCTGCCCCCCAGCCACGGGCCGCTACCCCGAAACCAAAGCCCCCTTGGAGGTGAAGTAGGTCTTATCACAGAGCTTAGCTGGGCTCCTCTGGGAGACTAGCATCTCCCGGGGACCCCTGTGGGAAGGGGGATTTGGATCTGAGGTTTCTGTCTGGCCCCATTCCCTAACAGTGCCAAGTTTGTCTTGGGCCCCTCCCTCCCCATCCAACCAGTCAGTGCCAAAGGTTTGCCTTTGGCCCCTCCCACCCTCCAAGCCAGCCTCCAGTGAGGACTTCCTTTCCTGGAGTCTCGGGGCCTGAGGAGTTATCCTAGGCTCTGAGGGCCCAGAAGGCAGAAGGGCTTCTGGGTAAAGAGGAGCAGGTGTTGTTCATTGTAACTTCATGTGTTTATTTCTGGATATTAAACGTACCAGTAGGGCTGAGAGTGCGGCTCAGTGGTAAGAGTGCTGGCCTAGCATGCATGAAGCCCTCAATTCCATTCCTCAGCACCACATACACAGAAAAGTCTGGAAGTGGCACTGTGGCTCAAGTGGTAGAGAGCTAGCCTTGAGCAAAAGCAGCTCAGGGATGGTGCCCAGGCCCTGGGTTCAAGCCCCAGGACTGGCCAAAAAAATCCAAAACCGTACTAGTAGCTCATTAAAACCTTGAGTATTACTGTTTTTTTCCTTCCTTGAGGTGATTTAATGAGGCTGCGTAGGACAGTGGCTGGAGAGAGGGTCACGGGACTGTGGAGACGGGCCTCACGCAGTGCTGGGGTCACTGAACAGCGAGGGCCGCTAGCCTGTCGGCGTGCTGGCCTTCCTGAGCCCGGGCCTGTTCGGCTCTGTGAATCTATACTTCCTGCCTTACAGAGTGGCCAGGGCTTGGTGGGGGGAGGGAGGGCAGCCAGTGAGTGACAGGTGTGTGAGTGCTTGGAGGGGACCTGGGTGCTGGGTGCACGGTTCTACTCTGAACTGCCACAGGACCCTGGGTGGGTCAAAGGGGCCCAGGTTATGCATGGATCCAGGCTATGAAAAAAAAAAATTACAGCATTCGTTCAGACAAGTAGACTCAGAATCCGAATCCCAGCATCCTGCCTTGGGGTGTGTGTGTGTGTGTGTGTGTGTACAGGGGAGGAGGGCTGGGGGTGTTGACTCTCCTCAAAGCAAACCAGGGAGCTCATTAGAAAAGCCGCATCAGCCAGGCATGGGTGATGCACACCTGTAATCCCAGCAACTCAGGAGGCTGAGATCTGAAGGTCAAAGTTGGAAGTCAGCGAAGGGAAGGGAAGTCTGTGAGACTCTTAACTCCAAGTAACCACCAAAAAGTCAGAAGTAGAGTTGTGGCTCAAGGAGTAGAGCACCGACTATGAGTGAAAAAGCCAAGCAAACACACAAGACCCTTGGGTCAAGCCCCAATATTGGCCCATGTGTACACACACACACACACACAGACACACACGAGGAAGACATAGGCCTAGGATATCTGGGTGATGAGATCTTTCCAGAAAAGGCAGCCAGGTTTGTCTCTAAGTGATAGCTCTCAGTTTGGTAAACGCTAGCGATTAATGATGAAGAAACAGTTCAGCCACCTGGCACCACCTCCAGCTGCCGGCCTGCGAGCTCTCAGTGAGCTGTGGGGGGCCGGGGGGGGGGGGGGAGACTGGGGAGGCTGTGGCCAGGGCCCGCTGGGCACACACCCACTATGCTGGGTGGCCCTGTCTGGCTGGGCTTGGCCGGGATGGAGGCACTTTGACGGGTCTCCTTCCTACTGAAATCCAGCCATGGATTCACGCCTTCCGCATGCCGCACGGGAGGCAGGCGCACAGACAGCCCTGTAGAGAAGTTTATTTGTAGGGGTACAGAAACGACTTCAAACTTGCTTCAGATTCCAAATGCTGACAAAACAGCTGTGTCTGGCCGGTGCGGAGCTCTGGGGAGCCCGGCCACTGGGAGCGGGGCTCATTTCTTGCCTTTGCCCTTGCCCTTGCCCTTGCCGCCTTTGCCCGCACCGCCGCCTTTGCCTGCACCGCCTTTGCCCTTGCCCCGCTTCTTGGACTTGAGCATGGAGCGGACCAGGTAGCCCTTCCACACGGCCTGGATGACCGTGGCGGCCTTCACCATCCGCACCATCTCCCGCTCCGCCTCCATCCTCTTCTTGGAGGTGATCTCCCGCTCTGCCTGGATCTGGGAGAACTCCTCCACCAGCACCTTGTGCCTCTGCTGCAGCTCGGCCAGCTGCTGCTTCTCCTCCTTGTGGATGCTGTCCAGCTCCTCGATCTCCTCCTGGGGGAGGAAGGGCGGACGGGGCCACCATGGCCCCCAGGTTAAGGGATGGCCCTGTTCTTGCCCAGTGAGTGTCAGGAACAAGGGAGGAATGCGGCCTGGGAGCTGGCTGGCTTCATTGCAAACCCCAGCTCTGCTGTGATACCACCTTTCAGATCTCCCATTCTCCCTCATCTGAATAGGGATTCTTGCCAGTCTAGTACATCTGGGATCAGATAACCAGATGACCTTGTTTTCTACAGGCTGTGTGTGTGTGAAATGTGTGTGTTGTCCCTTCCCCCCCCCCCCAATAGGCTTGGCCAGCTACCAGTTGGTGTCATGGTTGAGAGGAGACTGGACCTCCAGAGCCCCAACTGGGATCAAGGGTAGACTGTTGAGGGGACTGACTGGAGGAAGGAGGCCCCCAGGGAGCCATGGATGTGAGGGACACATCTTGTCCTCTGTCCCTGCCACTCCCTCTCTGCTCTCTGGCTGCCATCGGGTGAACAGCTTTGCTCTAGCATGCGTGCACAGCCTGGCCTCCTGAGAGATCAGAGCCGGGAGAACAGGAGACTGACTAGAACCCTCCAAATCCTTAAGCCCAAATAAATCAATGTTCCCTTCCTTTCCAGGTGTTTGCCTCAGGTTTTGTGACAGTCACAGAAATCCAGCACAAACCCGACTGGCACACAGTAGGGCCACGAGACAGCGACTGACATGGGAGCGGGCAGGTTCACAGGGACCCAGAGCAGGCAGATCTTTCGGGTGACTGATTCCAGAGTGCTTCCTTTGGTCTAACTAGTTTCTGCTGCTGTAACTCATGCCTCCTTCCCTCCCTGCCTCCCCCTCCCTCCACCAGTATCCCCCAAGCATTTGCACAGAGCTGGGAGGACAAGATCCCTGCGCCCAGGACCTCACTGGCCTGCATTCAGGGGTTGTTTGGAGGAGGTGCTGGGGATGAACCCCAGAACTCCCTGCACACCAGCCTCACAAACTTCAATGAGACTTGAGAAATAAGAGTACCACACGCCCTCCCCCCCCCCTCCCCGCCAGCCAGCGTGAGGGGTGACCTGCCCTCCTCTGGGCAGCACGTCTGACCCCCATGCTCCCCAGGTTGGGACCAGGGCCACACAGGGGTTGTCTCTGAGGTGGGTGGGGACCCTGGGGGGCTCCCACCCCCTGAGTGCTCCCCACAGACCCTATTCTGGGTACACACAGTTCCCAGACAGGTGTTATGGCCTAGAGTCCCCCGGGCTCAGAGGCCAGCTCCGGGGCTCAGATCCCTGGAGTGAGGGTCCCAGGCTGGACAGGCTGGACCTGTCTTTGGCACCTGTGCCAGGGGTTGGGTAACGCTGGCCAAGGCTCTCAAGGAGGGGGCCTGCTCCCCCCTCCTGCCTCCCAGCCGTGCAGACAGGACACCAGATGGAGATGAGAGCAGGCCCTTCTCCCAGAGGCCCTGCCCTGCTCCAGGCTCATCCCTGCAGCTGGGGGGAAGGGGAGGAGGAGCGGGGTGCCCAGGGGTCTGTGGGGATCTTACACCTTCCTGCCAGTTCTCCGGGACCCTGGGGAAAGTACCAAAAAGAAACAAGATTTGATACCTGCTTCTCACCCATCTCAGAATCGTATTTCTGGATCCAGTTCTCAATTTCCGTCTCTACTTTGTATTTTTTCTAAAAAATCCAAAACAACAACAAAAAAGCAGTCGTTAGAGAGGTGCTATGCATGGGGGCGGGTCTGTTGATCCCTGCCCCCCACGGAGCTTCGCAGTTCCCACTTTACAAGGTGAGACCACCATGGCAGGCTGCCATGTTTCCCCAACATCACAGAGCTGTAGGTGGGCAAAGCCTGTGCTTTGGCTCCAGAACATTCTAGGCAGAGAGACCAGCAGGTACAAAGGTCCTGGGGTAGGAGTGGACTCGTGGCATTTGTGGAACAGAAGTTGAGCCACTGTGGCTAGAACGGCGTGGCCAGTGGCAGTGACAGTTCACTGAGCTCCGTTTGTCCCAGCTTTCCATCTGGAGTCTCACTCCATTCCTGTCCCCGTCATGTGATCATTGTTTGTAGCCGAGATACGGCATTCTGCACGGCTGGAGGCGTCCAGGCCCCACGGTCCGCTACCCCGTTCTTGGGCCTGGGTGCTGTCCCTCCCGCCTCCCAGGGGCTCCCTGCTCCCCACTCCACCTTCCTCAGCGCCTGCTCTGCCTCCCAGTTCTCCATGGTCAAGTTGTGGAACTGGGATCGCAGCAGCAGCACCTCCTGCTGGACCTTGGCCAGTCTGGCCTGCCCTGCCCGGAAATCTATCTTCTGCTGCTTCTCCGCTTCCTGCTTCGTGCGGAGCAGCGTGTTCTCCGAGAACCTGAGCACCTGGTGGAGGTGGTTCTTCAGCTCCTGGATCACGAAGTTCTCCTTTTCCACCTGGGCCAGAGGGACGAAGACTCCATTAATACGCGCCTGCCCGCAGGGCACTGGGGCTGACGCCAGTCTTCCCAGCTACTCGGGAGGCTGAGATCTGAGGATCATGGTTCCAAGCCAGCCCAGGAAGGAAAGTCTGTGAGACTGTCATCTCTAATGAACCCCCAGAAAACCACATGTGGAGCTGTGGCTCAAAGTGGTAGAGCGCTAACCTTGAGTGCAAAAAGCTCAGGGACAGTGCCCAGCTCCTGAGATCATGGCAGCCCAACATGGCAGCCCAGCCTTTCTGTGACAGAGGAACCCACATCCACTCTGGCTAAGCCAGTTTATTTCTGGTGTCTGTTACATCAGAGAAAAAGGTTAAAAAGTATAACACACAGGATGTGTCCAAAACCTGGCTATGACCAGGTTAGGGAAGGGAGTGTGTGCATGTGCATGCATGTGTGTATGTGAGTGTGTGTGTGAGTGTGTGCCAGGACTAGGGCTTGAACTCAGGGTCTTCCACTCTTGCTTGGCTTTTACATTCAAGGCTAGTGCTCTACTGTGGCTTTTTAGTGGTTGATTGGAGATAAGCGTTCCTTAGACTTTCCTGCCTAGGTTGGCTTCAAATCATGATCCTCAGATCTCAGCTTTCTGAGTAGCTAGGATTACAGGCCTGAACCACAGTGCCCAGTCCAGATTAGAGGTTGTACTGTCATTTCCCTTGTTTATGGTGATTCTGGGCTTTGAATGCTGGGTCTCACGTCTGCTAGGCAGGTACAGGTTTGGCCCTTTTTGCTTTAGTTTACTTTGTAGATAGTCTCTCACTTTTTCCCAGGAATCTCTTGGGCCTAGATCTTCCTACCTCTGCCTCCCATGTAGCCTAGCTTACAGGAGTGATCTACCTCGCCCAGCCAACTGAGTTTTTTTAACACTTAGCTTCTATACTGCAATCTCCATGAGGCTAGCAGCCTATAGGCCTTTCAAGACCTGCCTCCAATGTTAAGTGTTCAAAACAGGCTTGGTGTGGCTCCTTCCTGAGTGTGAGCAGCGCTAGAGAGCAGTACCTCCATGTCTCTGTTCTTCATTCTCTCGGCCAGTTCGTTTTCCAGAGAATTGATGAGCTCTTGGTTCCGGTTGTTCCTCCGGGTGATGTCGTACAGGAACTGGGCCCTCTCCTTCACCTCCATGGGGCTGGTGAGAAGCTTCTCGAAGAGGAAGCCCCGCATCTCCACCAGGCTCTGGAGGAAGCACTGGGCCTCTGCGCTCCGGCCCGGTGCCCGCTCCTGCAGGAGCTTGACCGATGAGGGGTTGCTGAGCAGGCATCTCAGGACGTTTTTCGTGGTCTCCTGGACCTGCTGTATGATCATCGGGATACTGGCCTTGTACATGTCCATGGTGTGGGAGTCATGGTACCACCTTTCCTGCTGGCCATTCTTTTCCTCCAGCTGCCTCTCTTTCTCCTGCAGGAAGCTGACCATTTGCAGGAGGGCCTGGCAGAAGTTCAGGTGATCTTTCACGACACTCATGATCTCTGGCGGCAGCACCCCCTCCAGGGCCTTGGGATGCTCCTCCATGTAGGACAGCAAGCTGATCAGCTCCACCTTGTAGATGGTCTCGTCGAGCACCGACATGATGCGCTTAGTCTCGATGGTGGTGAGCTTGGTCTTGGATGGGACCAGAGGCCCCAGTGGGTGAGCCGGCTTCAGAGGCTCCTCTGTCTTCAGCCGAATTCTGCTGATGTCCCAGCCTTCATAGAGCGGGGTCACGCCGAATACGCCCATGGCCATCCCACCGGCAGCCTGCTTCACAAGGTGGTGGCTGACTGGCTGGGTCTCGGGCTCTAGGGTCTCTGGCAGCCCTGCAAAGGAAGCAGTGGCACTTTAAGAGACGTGGTGGCACCTGCTGTGGCTAGGGTGGCCATGGCGGCCATGCCGTAGGGGAGGACCTCTCAGCAAAGGCGGGCTTCAGCTCGGTGGCAGCATCTGGGGTCCCAAGCTAGCAGGATGGGGGTGTGTGAGGAGGGGAGAAAGAGGGTCTCAGTTGCTTGTGTCAGGCAGGGGTCACGTCACATCCTGAAAAGTGATAGAAAAGTGGCGGAGAACCAGGCATGGGTGGCTCATGCCTGTCATCCTAGCCACTCAGGAGGAGGATGGCAGTTTAACGTGCCAGTCCGGGCAGGAAAGTCTGTGAGACTCTTAACTCCCATGAACCACCAAGGAACCTCAGGTGGAGCTGTGGCTCAAGGGGTAGAGCACTTGCCTTGAAAGAAAGAGCTGAAGGACAGTGTCCAGGCCCTGAGGTCAAGCCCCAGGATGGACAAAAAGAAAAGAAAAATGGAAGGTGGAGGAGAGGCAACTGTGAGAAGGCGAAGCCCTGTCTAGCAGAAAGCCACTGGCCAGGAGGAAGTGGTGAGCTCAGGCCTCAGGTCAAGGTGGAGCTCAAACCCCAGCCATTAGCTCCCAGAGAACTCAAGAGCCACAGCCAGAAGAGCTGCCCCAGTAGAAGCTGGGAAAACAGGGACTGCTTCTTCCTCTTTTCCCACCACCCATGCCTCCTGCTGGCTAGCCTACCAGGAAACCGCCGGACAGTGACCCTGGGCCAGGCACCTGCAGGGAGCAGACATCCAACACAGCAAATAATAGAGCAAAGAGCCAGACACTAGAACAGCATGCTGTCATTTTGTGTATGTGTGTACGCATGCGCGTGTGTTCTGGTACTGGGGGTTGAACTCAGGGTCTGGGCACTGTCCCTGAGTTTTTGTGCTCAAAGCTAGCACTCTATCACTTGAGCCACCTCTCTACTTCCAGCTTTTGTTGGTGATATGAGGCTCACAGGCTTCCTATCTGGGCTGGCTTCAAACCTCTACCCTCAGGTCTCAGCCTCTTGAGTAGCTAGCATTATGACAAGGGCGAGCCTGGCTCCTGCAGTTCTTAGCATGTTTATACACGAAGCTAACATTAGGGGGAGCTGAATGAAGGGAATATAGGGACTCTGCTGTCTTTGCAGATACTTCTATAAATATACCAAATTAAAAACAACAACGACTTGTTTAAGGATTTTCTGGAAAGCCCAATAATTTATATCTCTGCACTCCTCCCACATCAAACTACATGTAGAAGCCTTTAAAACAAATTGTGCCTGTAATAGGGCTTGAACTCAGGGCCAGAGCACTCACGGTGCCTTAGCTTTTTCGGCTCAAGGCTGATGCTCTACCACTTTGAGCTACAACTCAACTTACAGCGTGTTGCTGGTCAATGGGAGATAAGAATCTCTGGGACTGGCTCAGCCAGTCAGTTTCTGTTGCTTGCAATAGAACCTCCACAGGCAACTCACAACACACCATCAGAGGGGCCTTCAGGAAATAATCGTTGAAATCCCCAGGAATAAATGGTGAAAGGGCGAGGGAATCAGGTAAATACCCAATGTGACCAAGAACAAGGAAGACAAGACAAGCAGGCCAGACCAGATGCTAAGGCAGGTCCTTAACTAGGCCAGAGGACCCCCAAATCAGCCTCCTGAGGCTGAGGGGATCTGGGGAAGGAGGCCAAGAAGGGCATTATTTGATGCTGCTTTCAACCCCTCCCAATTCCTGCTCCCCAATCGATGGCCGAGTCCCTTGGAGGCTTTTCCTGACAATAAAGTTTGCTGGACAGCCACAGAGCTTCCCCAGCCTCTCAGAGGATGAAGGATCTTTGCCCCCCCAGGCTGTGGGAAAGAACGTGAACAAAGTATTTAATGGATGAGCCTCTCCCCGTTGTCCCCTCAAAGCTCTCAGGCATAAATCAAAACGCAGGAATCTTTCCCAGATCGAGGCTGGAAATGCAACAATGTAAAAAAAAAAAAAAAATGCTTCCAATTTGCTTTCAGCCAAATTACCTCTTTTTGCTTTAAAGGGCAAACTTGTTTTCTTTGATTATGATGACGACTATCGGTTCCTGACAGCTCATTTGCCTGAAGATGTAAAAGTGTGGGGGTGGGGGATGGGGGGGAGGGGAGTGGAAAGGGGGGAAAGGAGGTGACCAAGATTGGGGGGTAGGGAATGCATTTGACCATGCTGACCAAAATCACACTGTCTTTTCCTTGAATTCTGATTGTCTCGTGTCCTTTTGAATGCTGCCAACCTTAATATTTAATTCATTTCCAACTTCAGCCTCTCCTTTTAAAACTCCTGCCCCCGAGAGCGAGGCAAGATTGTTAATAGACGGCGAAGTTTAATTGGATCTTCCCTTATTTGTCATTAATTCTGCTGATGAACTTTATAAATGGAAATATATCTTTATCATGCAAATTACACCTCAGCTTCATTCAAATAGGTCTGTTGGATATTTTATTACTTTTGCTCTCAGAACATTTTGAAGAAAAAAAAAAGATGAGCTAAATGAAATACAATTTTTTCTCCTTGAAGAGAGAGAAAAAAAGAGAAGAACCCCAGTGTCCAGATATGTGGGGAAGTGAGAGGGAATTAAGAACAGAGTGGCTGGACACTGTCATCCTTGCTACCCAGGAGGCTGAGATCTGAGGATCATGGTTGGAAGCCAGCCTAGATAAGAAAATCTATGAAACTCTTATTTCCAATTAACCAGTAAAAAGCCGGAGGTGGAGCTGTGGATGGAGTGTCAGAGCACCAGCCTTGAGTCAAAAATCTAAGGGAGAGGGGCTGGGAAGGTGGCTCAGTGGTAGAGCGCTTGCCTTGCATGCCTGAGGCCCTGGGTTCGATTCCTCAGCACCACATAAGCAAAAAGAAAAAAGCCGGAAGTGGCGCTGTGGCTCAAGTGGTAGAGTGCTAGCCTTGAGCTGAAGAGCTGAGGGACAGTGCCCAGGCCCAGAGTTCAGGCCCCATGACCGGACCCCAAAAAAAAAAAAAATCTAAGGGAGGGTGCAAGGCTCTGAGTTAAAAAAAATTAATTGCACTCATGTACAAATATGGTGTAAGAAATCTGGCTGTTAATCAATAGGTGTGGGAGGGGAAGGAAGCAAGAAAGCAAGAAAGGAGGGGTCTTTTGATTAAAACAGAATGCATGCCTGTGTGAAATACCATGGTGAAACCTTTTGGAACAATTAATATACACTAAAAAATGAATGACAGGAGAGTAAGACCGACTCTGTTGTTGGGTGGTCCAGAGGGAAGAGGATTCAGTCAGTGAGTAGAGTAGGATTCTAGTTCTAGGCCAGCCAGGGCAGAAAATTCCATGAGACTCTATCTCCATAGAAGAAGTTTGGTGTTGGGGTAAGGCCCTGTGATTCCAGCTAGGATAGGAAAACTGAGATGAGTCCAGCCAGTTCCTGTGCAAGAAGGGAGACTCTCTTTAGAATAATCAGAACAACATCATCATCAACAGAAGCCTAGTGGTGTTGCTCAGTGCTAGAGTGCCTTTCTAGCAAGCACGAGTTCAAACACTAAAAATAAAATATACAAATAAAGAGAAGGTTCATGTTGGGCACCAGTGGTCTCTACCTGAGAAATAAACTAAAACAAAAAAGGCTGTGGAGTTGGGGGGCGGGGGGAGGAAGAGGGGAGGGGAGAGACAGGTGTGTGTGTGTAACTCAAATAGCGCACCAACTCTGAGTTCAAACGCTATTAATGTAAATTATCACGATGATGATGATGGCTGGTGGCTCACGCCTATAATCCTAGCTACTCAGAAAGCTGAGATCTGAGGATCCCAGTTCAAAGCCAGCCCCAGCACGAAAGTCTGAGAGACTCTTATCTCCCAGGAAAGTCTGTGAGACTCTTATCTCCAATGAACCACCAGAAGTGGAGCTGTGGGTCAAGTGGTAGAGCACTAGTCTTGAGTGAAAAAGCTCAGGGACAGCACCGAGGCCCTGAGTTCAAGTCCCAGGACAAGCACAATTATTACTACTATTACTACTACTAATAATATGAGATAAACATCTTATATTCAATTTAAGATGCAGCCCATAGCATGCTATCCCCGCAGTCCTTGCGTGGATAGCTGTGTGTGGGGGTGTAAAACCGCCCTTTCACCCCCACTTCTACGTTTACCTGCGCTGCCACAGGAGGGTACCATGCCCGTTAGGGGACCCAGCAGGTGGGCCACAGGAGGACAGGCAGAGGACAGGGCCAAAGGAGGATGGCTTGTGGTGCTGGCAGGCCCTGAGCCGGGTGGGGGCAGAGTCGGGGTACTGGTTGCTCACCCACATTTCCCTCAGCCTCAACCCTTCCCACCTGGTTACTCACCCGAGTTCCTCTACCCACACTAATCTCTGTGGTCTCGGCGTTGCTAAGTTACCCGCCAAGTCTGGAAGGCGGGACTCAGTGTTTGACTGACCTTCCGTTCCACCATTCACTTTCTCGTTCCGCTCTTGTGGCACCACCTCCTGCGATTAGGCCAATCAGAACCACGGTCTGGCTCACGTTTCACCAATTAAAAGCCTCGGGGCTCTGTCTGGGTTAGGCTGAACAAGTGAGGCGGGGAAATTGGGAGCGAGGGGGGGAAAAGGGTGGAGCTTCCTGGTCCCGCCCCCTCCCAGGGAGGCGGGCAATGAGTCCTGCAAATGCAGTGGGCGAGATTGGGGAAGGACGGGAAGATTGACCAATCAGAGTTCGACATGGCAGCCCAGGCGCCCAATAGGCGGCAGCGAAGGGGAAATGGGGCGGTGCCGGTGGGGTGGAGGGGACGACAGGCGGGGGCTGAGCTGGCGCAGCTGCCGTGGTGGCCGCGGCTGAAGTGGTGGCCGCTGTGGTAGTTGCAAGAGCTCCGGGTTTTGGCGGCGACGCCGGCGGCCTGGGCTGCGCGTTGCGGACCCTGGTGTGCGGTCCGGGTTCCCGGGGCGTCGCGTGTAAGAATCCGAAGGGTGCTAGGGCTTGGCCCGTGGGAGAGGGTAAGGGTCAGGGGTCAGAGGGCGCGGAGGAAGGGGGTCGCGGCCGGGCACCGGGTGTGGGCGCTGGGCAGGGCGGGCTCCGAGGGATCTGAGGGGTCCGCGTCTCCCCGCGGCCCCCGCGGGGGCTCGCCCCCTTCCCCGCGCGCCCCCCGCACACGCGGGCGCCCCGCACGTGGAGCGGAGCCAGCACGCCCGACCTTTCACCTCCGCGGCGCCCTCCGCTGACCCCCCGCGGGAGGCCGGCGTCCGGCCGGGTGCCCGCGGGCCGCGCGGTGACCGCCGGCCCCGGCCCCTCCCGCGGGGGGCCGGGAGGGGCCCGACAGAGCCTCCCGGGTGCCCTGGAGAGGGAGCCCCGAGTGCCAGCTCTGCCCTGCGCCGGTGACCTTGCACAGCGCCCGTGCCCTCTCTGGGCCTCCCGAGTGGACCGGACAGAATTCCCAGTGCAGGCAGAGGAGAAGCGTGCGTGTCCACCCTGCCTGGACCAAGCGATGTCCAGGCTCCCTGTGGGAGACTGTGGGGTCTGCTGGGAGGCCGAGGCAGGAGGATCTGGATGGAGCCAGCCAGAGCTACATCGCCAGACCCTGTCTGTCTGTCTGTCTGTCTGTCTCCCTCCCTCCCCCACACACAACTCCGAAACAAAAATCAAGAAAGTGATAGGTTTAAGGAACTAGTTCAGGTACTAGTTAAGGGTCGTGGTTTAAGCAGGAGGTGGTGGTTGAAGTTTGGTCAGCACCACGTCCCTGATATTTACTTATGGGAAACAACCACTCTGAGCCTCAGTTTCCTCTCTAGAAGGTGGAGATAATTAGCTGAAGTCCTTTCTAGCAGCAGCAGTCAGTGCGGTTGACACTTTGAGCGACATAGTTCTTTGCTGGGCATCGTATGTTTAGTGACGTCTCTGCCACTGTTTTCTAGTGATCACTGTGTCAAGTTGTGACAACCAGAAAGTTTCCTGCCATTGTTAAGGTCTGTTGGGACCAAAGTCACTCCAGTTAAGAGTCATTGAACTGAAACAATGTGGACCTGAAAGAAGTGAGACATTACACAGTTAAAACATAAAACTGCTACGATCACTACAAGATCTAGAAATATATTCTTTTTGTGTGTGTGCGCGTGTTTGTCAGTAGTGGGGCTTGAACTCTGGGCCTGAGTGCCGACCCTCAGCTCTTCAGCTCAAGGCTAGTGCTCTACCACTTGAGCTACAGCACCACTTCCATTTTTTTTTTTTTTTTTTTGGTGGTTTATTGGAGATAGGAGTCTCACGGACTTTCCTGCCCGAGCTGGCTTTGAACCGTAATCTTCAGATCTCAGCCTCCTGAGCCTCTAGGATTAGGATTTCTAGCCAGTTCTTGATCAGCTGAGAGGATTAATAGAGTTTCTTGCCTTAAACAAATACAAGACTATCAGAGCCGAGCAAGGGATACAAGGAACTTCATATATATACCCTGTCTACTTTGAGTATGATTCAGATTATCCACAATACAACAATAATCCAGCAAGAAAAGGTTAAGCCAGAAAAACAAAAAAAAGAAAGAGAAGCAGACTTAGGACAACCAAATGGTTGTATCTCATCTGGGATTTCTTCCTCCTCCTCCCAATCCCCCAGTGAGATTTAAAAGCAAAATAAATCCCCAAATCTGGAGGAAATTAAAAAAAAAAACAAACTACAGGAAGTTTGCCGGGCAGAGCTACAGACTTTACACAAAACAACACTCACATCTGCCTCGCTTTAAAATAGGTGCTTCCGCCTCCCTTCCTCTGGTCACATCAGAGGATTCCAGAAAGGAAGTAAATCACCCAGTTACCCTTCTGTGGTCATTTTCGAGGCAAAGCCGGTTCAAGCCAGAGGCTCTGCAGCTTGAGGACAGAAGCAGCTGCTGTTTTGAAGTTCAAAAGTCTTTAGACAGATGTGCTGAGTCGTAGCCCAAGCAGAAACAGGAATGCGTATGTAGAGACTTGTAACTGGACTGAACTGAATGTTCTTTTACAACTGTGAGTGAAGGATAGGCACTTCTGGAAAAAAAAAAAAAAAAAACAACAAAAAACAAAAACAAAAACAACTTGTCCCCTTTCCTTTCTTTCCCAGCCCCTACGAATAGAACACTGTGTACTGTTTCTCAGCCTTGTCCAGAATGATCTTGACTGTTGGAGCTGGCTTCTTGGAGCTTTTTAGTTACGCTAAAATGAAAGTTGTTTTTGAAGAAAAGGAGGAGGAGGGGATAAACTTAAGTGGCCCGGTGTAACTTTTTATTTTTATAGATCTTGCCTCCACACACACATCCTGGGGACTTGTAGGGATCCTACCGAGCACTCAGGTCAGGCGTGTAGTATAAAAACCTGGCTGTCTGCCTGTGGGTCCTCAGTCATGTTACTTAACATCTCTGTGCCTAAAACTTTCCCCTTCTGTAACGGGAATGGAGAATAAAAAAATTTTTTTTTTTTTTTTTTTTTTTTTTTTTTTTAGGTGCCAGTCCTTGGGCTTGAACTCAGGGCCTGGGTACTGTCCCTGAGCTTTTGTGCACAAGGCTAGCATTCTACTAGTTGAGCCATAGCTCTGCTTGGGCTTTTTTTGGCTAGTTAATTGGAGATAAGAGTCTCACAGACTTTCCTACCTGTACTTTCAACTGTGATCCTCAGATCTTAGCCTTATGAGTAGCTAGAATTTTAGGTGTGAGCCGCTGGTAACTGATTTAACTACTCTTAATGATTGTATTTTTGTTTTTTTGTTTTTTTGGGTCCGGTCATGGGGCCTGAACTCTGGGCATGGGCACTGTCCCTCAGCTCTTCAGCTCAAGGCTAGCCCTCTACCACTTGAGCCACAGTGCCACTTCCAGCTTTTTTCTTTTTGCTTATGTGGTGCTGAGGAATGGAACCCAGGGCCTCTGGCATGTAAGGCATGCACTCTACCACTGAGCCACCTTCCCAGCCCCAATGATTATATTTTTGTTGTTGTTTTTGCCAGTTCTGGGGCTTGAACTCAGGGTCTGGGCATTGTCCTTGAGCTTCTTTTGCTCTAGGCTAGAACTCTAACACTTGAGCCACAGCACCACTTCTGGCTTTTTCTGTGTATGTGGTACTGAGGAATTGAACCTAGGGCCTCATGCATGCTGGGCAAGCGCTCTACCACTAAGCCATATTCCCAGCTTGGTTGTATTTTTTTTTCTTTAAAATCTATGCACGATTCATACACAGATCAGTGTAATGAAGGTAGAGGAAGAATGTTAGTTTTCATCTCATTTTTCAGACATAGTTACCCTTAACTTCTCAGGATTTTTTGTTGCTTTGTGTTTCCTTTGTATGTGAAAGAGAGAGAGAGATAATGTGTACTGGGACTTGAACTCAGGACCTTGTACTCTTGCCTAACGTATTCTGCTTAAGGCTGGTGCTCTACCACTGGAGCCACAGCCCTACTTCCATTTTTCTTACTGGTTAATTAGAAATAGAAGCTCTCAGATTTATCTTCCCTGGCTGGCTGAGGTCTGAAATCCTCAGATCTCAGCCTCTTGAGCAGCCAGGATTTCAGGGCGAGCCACTGATGTTTGGCTTACCCTCCTCTCAATCTTTTTTTTTAAAAAAAATGTCTTTTTGATAAACTTATTTTTGAGACAGGGACTTATTGCGTAGCTCAGATTAGCCTCTAACTCCCAATTTACAGGCGTGCACCGTTCCTCTCAGTATTGTCCGTATTTTAACACTCATCGACGGCCATAACCCTTTGAAATTTAGACGTGATTCACCTGCGGTAAGCTGCACTGTCTAGAAAAGCATATATCATTCAGTGCTTGTGCCGCCATCACCGCTACCTAATTCCAGAACATCGTCATCAGTCATGGTCATAATTTAATAATAATCCTTTTCTTTCTTTCTTTCTTCTTTTTTTTTTTAATCCCCCCAACCCTAGAAGATGCTACTGATGGAGGTGATTCTGAAAAGCACCTCTGGGCCAGTGGCTTTGCGAGGAAGCTCATACCAGCGACTGTTTGGAGCCCTGGACGACGCCTCCTGAGGAGCGTGGGCTCAGAGGACATGGCCGCGAGTCTGGATGATGACGTGCCCCTCATCCTGACCTTGGATGAGGGGGGCGGTGCCCCACTGGCTCCCTCCAATGGCCTGGGCCCAGAGGAAGTACCAAGCACAAGTAAGTGGGTGTGTGGCTCAGGGAGTGGCAGGTGAGTTGGGGCTTTGGTCTGCTAGGAGAAGCCAGGACTCTGACATCCAACCCTGAATTGTGACTCAGAACCTGTTGCTAGGAGACCATGGGCTTCTAGTGCCATACCCCAGCCTTGTAATATGTCTAGGGTCTGTCCTACCCTCCTGCAGCTCTGCTGCCTCTCGTTACCCAAAGCACCTTGTCCTTGTCCTGGATGCTTGGTGGAGGGACTCTGGCAAACCTGTTTCTTGGCTGGCTTCCTTGTCATATTCCTCGTTAAAAAAAGAATCAGACTTCACCCCCCTCCCCCCCTTCTTCCCCTCCCTGTGTGAAGCTGCTGGCAGGGAAGCAGCACCCTGCCCGGCCAGTTCAGGGCAGGGGTGAGCACTTCTCCTGTCCATTGATTTGAGGGTTTGAGGCTTTGCTTTGTCTTCCTGGGAACTGAGGCTGAACACAAAGCCAGCCCGCGAGAGATGGCGAGCTGCAAATGTTTTCCATTTTAAGTGTGTTTCTGGCAGAAGGCATGGTCTTAAAAACCTTCCTGGGCCTCATCCCGAAGCCATTTGCTCAGGCCGTGGGCTCTGGAGAGGCTTAAAATAACTAGCCCGTTCTGAGGGTCCTGAGACTGTCTACCCAGACGCCTTGGCCATCGCCCAGGTATGCTGCCTGGAGCTGCCCATCTGCTCCCAAGGGCAGACATAGGGAGCAGGGAGGAGCCTGCCTCCACTGTCTCCAGTGTTCTCCTTCATCTTGGGGGTGAGCCCGTGGGGGGCCTGGCTGGCTGTAGGCAGGGACTCTCTTTGCTTAGGGCAGCAGAACTGGGTGGGATCCAGGCTGATCAGAACATAAGCTGGACTTTTTCCTAAGCCCCACTCAGTACTGACAAAGCAGAGGCTCTGACTTCCTGATATTCCTTATTTCCTTCCTAAGATGTCCTTTGCAAGGGGGGCAATATTGTTCTATTTTAGAGGGAGAAACTATGGGTCAGAGAGGTTAAGTAACTTTCCCAAGGCCACACAGCCAGCAAGTGATTGAGCACAGATTGGAAGTCAGGCCTGCCTGGCTTCCAGATTTCTTCCCCTCTTCCTCCCCCCCCCCCCCCGTCTTACTCCCTTTTTCCTCCTCTGGTTTTCTTCACAAGCTCTTAATAAACATGGGTGTAAGTTCTTAGCACTTGTTATTTTTTTTATTTGTATCTTTTTTTTTTTTTTTGCAGTCCATTTGTATATCGCACTGTATAATCTCAAAATAGTGATGGTGATTATCTGTGGTTTACAGAGGTAGAGAGCGCCGCAGTGGCTAGAGATTGTGTGGCTGACCCAGGGTCACACAGCTCGCCACCGGTAAGGCCTCTGCTCATCCCTCCCATATCACCATGCAGCGGGAGAGGGAGAGGGTACAGCACTCAGCTCAGAGGAGGGGCCTTCATGAGGGGGGATGGGAGGTGGCTGCTGGCTTATTGCTTAAGAACAAAGACGGGCCTCCTTCAGCACCAAGGAGCGGGCTTTCTGCTCAGTGCCTCAGTTTCCTCGCTCAGGCTCCTGTGGAGTCATTTTGCTAAAAGCACTGAGAACCAGTGGGTTCTTGCTAATCTACCTAAGCCTGCCTGGGAAGCACCGCAGTGTTCTAATGTTCTAGTGGCTTTGCCACTGACCTTCTGCCTGCTGTCTGGGCAGATACTCTGAAACAAATTCATGCCAGGCCAAGGTGGTCACCCCTGGAATTCCAGCCCTCGGGAGGCAGAGGTAGGAGGATCTTGAGCTTCAGGCCTTTGTGTTCCACATGGCAAGACCCTGTTTTGAAAAAAAAAAAAGAGCAAGTACCACCACCACCACCACCACCACCACCACCACCAATCCAGCCTGGTCACTCCCCTGTCCCATCTCTAAGATACAGAACAAGCTCTTGCCAGCCAGTGTCCCTCACCATCTTGTCTGACCGATCCTGCTTCCTCCCTAGCCAGCCGCTGTCCCAGCTCTCCCTTCAGCTAACCCCTGGGCATTCTGCCCCACTCTGCCTTGCTGGGAAGTCAGTTCCTGTTTGCTCACCTCCTCTTCTGTCTACAATCCTGCTGATGGCGCCGTCTCTTTTGAACTTCCCAGAAGCTTCCCATGTAGTAATTACCTGTTTTACCGTCTGACCTCCTGTTGGGCCTCCAGGCCCATTCATCTTTGTGTCTTACAGCTTAGTGCTTGCAATATCTTGCTGCCACTCAGCAGGGTTGAAATAAACCCAGCTGTGTTCCTGGGGCCTAGATTCTGAAGGTGCTGATCAGTTAGGGATGGTGTCCTCTTCTCCCTCTGCTCCCAAGCCTGTGCTTTGAATTCCATCTCAGCTGGGTGCTGGTGGCTCACGCCTGTCATCCTAGCTACTCAGGAGGCTGAGACCTGAGGATCACAGTTCAAAGCTGTCCAGGGCAGGAGAGTCTGTGAGACTCTTATCTCCAGTTAACCACCAAAAAGCCTGATGTAGGGCTGTGGCTTGATTGGTAGAGCACCAGCATTGAGGGAAAAGGCTAAGGGACAGTGCCCAAGCCCTGAATTCAAGGGCCCCCCACTGCTGGCACAAGAAGGAATCCCATCTCTGGATACAGCTCGTTGTCCTGGGAACCACTACCCTTGACCCCAGCCTATGGCTTCTGCGTGTCCTCAGGGCACTAAGGGGTTAGCAGAATGTGGACAGAGGCCGTCAGTGAGTTGGTGGTGACATGGCCTTGTGCCACTGAGTGTGGTGTCCTCTGGGGGGGGGGGGGGGGAGCGAGTCCTGATGGCCCCTGGGTCTCTGGGAATACAGTGCTGCCAGGCCTGCCCCGCTTCTCTACCAGTATGCCCCGTCCCAGTCCCCTCAAGCTGCCATAACCAAGTGCCATGGGCCAGGAGCTCTGGGGCTGTGGCTGCAGAGGGTGGCATCCCTGTTCCGGATATTGCGAGGTCAGCAGCGGGCATTCTTTGGAAACCTCTCCTTGGCTTG